GAGATGTTATTTTTTCCCTGTGTTATTAAGCAAAGGAATATTGAGACCATCACTATTTTAGAGATGAGGAAACTCTATCAGAGATGTCAAACCAGTTTAAGAGGAACCAAAACAAGACTGAATACCATGACACAGTCTATCAGGAAACAACTCCAACAGGTAGATGTTCTTCAAAATTTCTAGAAGGGAACTCACCTAAACTGGGTCATAAATGCAGAGTACTACAAGAAAATGACTACAGGCTTTCACAGCCATCTGCCTGTCATTCTCACACCAGAATGAAACTTACTAAAAATCTCTTCCATATAATGTAGATAATGGTCCCTTACTTATTTCCTCTTTTATGTGATGCTTATTTCCAGCTGTTATCAGGGCCTGATTTAATGGCAGGAAGGAGGCTATTAAGCCTATGTCAGAATGCAGTCTCCCTGAAAGTAGGAAGGAAATACTTTGGACTGATTAAGGCCAGCATGACATTCATGGCAGACAATCTCATTCCGGCCAAATTAAAGTAGTAATTCCAGTATTTGTTCCCTGCCAGCCCTTGTCAGCAGCCAAAAGAAAAGTGGTAAAGTTAATGTAAGTGCGCGCGCGCGCGCACACACACACACACACACACACACACACACACACACACACGGGCTAATTGATTACAATCTGCTTGTCTCATACAAGGTATTGTAACATTCCAAAGAATATATACAATGACTGAGCTTCAACTAGTTGGTATTCACAAGGTAAAATAATTTTAAAAATAAAATTAGTGAGGCATGGTGGCACATGCCTGTAGTCCTAGCCATGCAGAAGGATTGTCTGAGCCCAGGAGTTCGAGATTACAGTGAGCTATGGTCACACCAATGCACTCCAGCCTGGGTGACAGAGCGAGACCCTGTCTCTAAAATAACAATAATAATAATAATAATTTCAAAACTTACCAGCTCCTGTTGCCCCCAAAATTACCAGCCTATACTGAAACTTCACTGTTCTGATCTCCACTTACCCTCCATTCCCACCGACAATAAAATCATCTCGCTATGAAATGTTAAGGAGAAAAATGTTCTGATGGCTCACTAATAATAGCATCCACATATATATTTGAGTATTTGACTTATAGATATGACCTTGTTTAAGCACATAAATACCAAGTTAGTCATTTAAAAATGGGTTATACAATTCTATACTAAGCCTAGGCTGTCTCTCATATTTGCCCAATCTGAATCTATTCACCGTCAAAACATCCTTCTTAAATAATCTATTTTACCAATTCTTATCTCTTGCCCCACAAAAGTACTTGGTTTCTATACCTGTATATCTCTTTCTCACCATATTCTAACACCTAAGACCAGCTTTAGCGATACAGACAGGACAGGAGAAAGAAAAGGAAAGGAAAAAGAGAAGGGAAAGAAAGGAAGGAAGGGATCTTTTAAAATTTTTCACCCAAAACATTTCCACTGACATAGCCCACAACTATCAAAGCTAGCCTTTATCTACTCTTCATACTCCAAAAAATACCATCAACTTCAACCTAACTGGCAGTAAAATAGCAAGAGTAGCAGCTACCATTTATTAAATGCTCTTATGTATTAAGCACCATACTAAGTAAGCACTTTATGTTATCTAATTTAATCCTTCCTACAACCCTCCCATGTAGGCTGTAAAGATTTGGAGAAATTCATTTGCCCAAGTCCACACAGATCGAGGAACCCAGAATCAGATCTAAGCCATCTGTTTCAAGAACCAAAGACATAAACCACTATTTTATTTTATTCCAAATGTTTTTATTTCTCTGTTGACTAGAAGATTAAGAAAGCACAGCACAGACAAACATAAGCAGAAACAGAACCTTGACCTAAACTTCACACCTTGTAAAAAAAAATTAACTGGATCATAGATCTAAATATAAAAAGGTAAAACTATAAAAATTCTAAAAGAAAATATAAGAGAAAAGCTTCATATTTCAGGGTTAGGAAAAGAGTTCTTAGATATAACATCAAAAGTACAATCCATAAAAGAAAAAATTAATAAGCAGGACTTCATCACTGATAAGAGAATGAAAAGACAAGCTACAGATAGGGAGAAAATATTTGCAAATCACGTATCCTTGAAAGGACTTAAACACATATTATATAAAAAAAAAACTCTAAAAATTCAACAGTAAGAAAACAACTCAATTTTAAAATGTGCAAAAGACGTGAACAGACACCTCACCAAACAGGATATAAGGATGGCAAAAAAGTACATGACAGGGCTGAGTATAGTGGCTCACACCTGTAATCCTAACACTTTTGTGAGGCTGAGGAGGGAGGACTGCCTGAGGCCAGGAGTTTGAGACTAGCTTGAGCAAGAGGGAGACCCTGTCTCGACAAAAAATAGAAAAATTAGCTGGGCATGGTGGTGCATGCCTGTAGTCCCAGATACTTGGGAGGCTGAGGCAGGAGGACTGCTTGAGCCCAGGAGTTGCAGGTTGCAATGAGCTATGATGACACCACTGCACTCTAGTCAGGGGGACAGAGTGAGACCCTGTCTCAAAAAAAAAAAAAAAGCATATGACAAAATGTTCAACATCATTATCCATTAGATAAACACAAATTAAAACCACAAGATGTCACTGCACACCTAGAATGACTAAAATAAAAAATAATGACACTACCAAATGCTGGCAAGGATGGAAAACAACCGGAATTCTCACGTTACTGGTGGGAAAGCAAAATGGTACCGGCACTCTGAAAGACAGCTTAGCAGTTTATAAAAGTTAAACATACACCTAACATATATCCCAGCAACCCTACTCCTAGGTGTTTACTATAAGAAATGAAAACTTATGTTCACACAAAAACCTGTACACAAACGTTTATAGTTTTATTCATAATTGCCAAAAACTGAAAAAAAACTAAATGTCTACCAGTGAGTGAATGGATAAGCAAACTGTGGCACATCCATAAAGAGGAATACTACTCAGAAATAATAAGGAATGAACTACTGATACACACAACTTGGATGAATCTCAAAGGCATTATGCTCAGTGAAAGAAGTCAGTCTCAAAAGGTTACCTACTGTACGATTTCATTTATATGACATTCCCCAAAAGACAAAACTACAGTGAAGAAAAGATCAGTGATTACAGCATGAAGGAGTTTTTGGGGTAGAATTGTTCTATATCCTAATTGTAGTGGTAGTTACAAAAATCTAAACGGGTTATTCATTGAAATATATACCCGAAGTCAATTTTACTGTATAATAATTTTAAAGATAAAACTGAAAAATTTTCCTGTAATCCTAGCACTCTGGGAGGCCAAGTGGGTGGATCACTCAAGGTCAGGAGTTCGAGACCAGCCTGAGCAAGAGCGAGACCCCGTCTCTAATTAAAAA